ACTAACCTCTACTATATTTACCAACTAAATATCTCTAAGTTTATAAGGTCAGTCTCCCATATTTCAGTGTAGAATTCTCAACACACTCCTCTATTACAAAGAAAACAAACCCACTCTTCTATCCCTTTGGTATTCAGTGCAGTCATGCAATCCTGCACTGATTGTGCTGTTGCTTACATTAGCAAGCCATGTTCAAGTGGCATTTTTACTTACTTCTGCTTCCTGTACCATTATAGAATAGGGAGCTAAGTCTAGAGTTAGCTTTCATCCACACTGAAGAGCAGTCATGTCACAGTGATATGTAACAGACTTTAAAAGAGAAAAAAAGAAGGAGCAGAGGAATATTGTGTCCTATTGCAAGTTCGGCTGCATTATAACTATTTGAATTTCAATTTATCGGCAATAACAAGATCATTCTTCATCCTTCTGAAAGTGCTACAAGACTTTTAGTGAAAGTAGTTCAGTATCTCATGTCTGTTCTAATTGCTGTGTCTGTGTCACTGCGCACAATACCAGCACTGTAGTTCAGCACTAGCTCTCCACTGCACCATCCTACAGGATCTCTCTCTTCCCTAGACACCTTCCTTCCTTCTTATTGACTTGTCCAAATTAGTCTTTAAGATTCGAAAATATTTTTCCAGGAAGTGGTATGGATTTAGGACATCAAGTGATTGCTTTGTTGTTTTTAAAATGCACACAAAAATAGGTTAATGAAAGCAGGCTAAAAGGTCTAAAAATATCCAGATTTTTTTTCTTTCCTTCTTTCATCCTGAACATCGATAGCCCTTGTTCTCAGCCAAACAAACTCCTGTTTGCTATCCCACATTGTACTGCGTCATGTAAATGCACAGAGTTGAAGGCAGCACTACCTCAGGCATCCTGCCCAGTACTCTCAAGAAGAACAGATGTAAGTCCTCTCTCCACCTTTTTGCTAGCAATGTCACAGAGATAAGGACAGCACACATAGAGAGTATTAGTCAGAGACACCTCTCTTTATCATACCATCACCCAGGATAAAAGCGATGGCAAAGGAAGGCCCTTAAACATTTGTTACCTGGGCTGCTTTGTATACATCTTAAGGGTTGTTGAGAGCATGAGAAGGATGGGCATTGCCAGGGAAAGGCAGGAGATGGAAAAGATTAAAAATAAAGAGGATGAAAAGGGCAGGGAACAAAGAGAAGGTGGCCCATGCTTACTATATCCACTCATACATATAACATGACAAAAGGAAGACAGTAAGACAAATATTCAGCCCATTTATCTTCTGTAATTGCTTGCATATCCATGCTGTTCTGCAGGAAATATGCACTGTTCTTTTGCACTTGCACACGCATACACAGCTCTGGACTATTAATAGAAACAACACAGGATTTAGTGAAAGCCAATCAGATTTTGTGAAGTCCTTCTAGGAGGCTTGTTTCTGTGTCTGCATCATTTCAAGAAGGGAAATCACTGGTTAGTGTAACTGAACATCTATTCTTATGTTGTCTCTATTGTACAAGAGAGCACAATCACTGAAATAAACAGATGCTTACTGATATTTTAAAGGTGAAAAAAAAAAGGTATACTGTGTTAGCCATAGTAATAGGTGTACAAAAAAACCCCAAACTAACAAAGCCCTGATTTTTCACTGTTACTTGAAAGTGACTAACAAAATTAATGCATATAGTCATGAAAGTATTTCTTTTACTCATATTTCTGTGTTTGCTTGCTTTAAGAAAAAAAGACAAAGCCCATTTCACATTTTAAGAAGCGGCACAAAAAGTTATAAAGGGATTGCTACGTCCTTGCAAAATAGAGGGTGGGCATAGCACATCTTTAAGGTTAATTCAATAGAAGTACATACTGATACCTGATTCACATAAGATTGTGAAAGCTGCATTTGTTTTAACAATAAAAGCCAACTTCCAAGTGTTGCTCAAAAACCAGTGTAGGAAAAAAACAAAGAAAACACATAGAAAATTTTATGGGTTTGATGGATGAACCACTTGGTGGATAAGAAATTGGCTGAATGGTCACAAAGACTTGTGGTCAATGGCTCCATGTCCAAGTGGAGAGCAGTGACAAGTGGCATTCCTCAGGGGTTGGTGTTGGGGCTGGCGCTGTTTAACAACTTTGTTGGCGACATGGACAGTGGGATCGAGTGCACCCTCCGCAAGTTCACCGATGACACCAAACTGTGTGGTGTGGTGACACGCTGGAGGGAAGAGATGCCATCCAGGGGGACCTGCAGGTGGGTCCATGCAAACTTCATGAAGTTCAACAAGGCCAAGGGCAAGGTCCTGCCCATGGGTCAGGACAATCCCAAACACAGATACAAGCTGGGCGAGGAGTGGGTTGAGAGCAGCCCTGAGGAGATGGACTTGGGGGTGTTGGTGAGTGGAAACCTGACTGTGAGCCAGCAACGAGCATTCACAGCCCAGAAAGCCAGCCGTGTCCTGGGCTGCATCAAGAGCAGTGTGGCCAGCAGGACCAGGGAGGGGATTCTCCCCCTCTACTCTTGCTCTTGTGAGACCCCCCTGCAGTGCTGTGTCCAGCTCTGGGGGCCCCAACGTCAGAAGGACATGGACTTGTTGAAGCTGGTCCAGATGAGAGACATGCAAATGATCAGAGGGCTGGAGCACCTCACTTGTGAGGCCAGGCTGAGAGAGTTAGGGGTGTTCAGCCTGGAGAAGAGAAGGCTCCAGGGAGACCTTAGAGCGGCCTCCCAGTGCTTAAAGGGGCTACAGGGAAGGTGGGGAGGGACTCTATCAGGGGGTGTAGGGGTAGGACAAGGGGTAACGGTTTGATTCATACTTTATATTGGGATAATGACAGCGTATTTTTTGGTATATTAATATTGTTGAAAATGTGGAATTATTTCAAAGATGGAGATCGCAAAACTACCAAAGTCCTAACCTACTATCTCATAATCCATCCCTAAAAATCAAGTAAGTTTCTAGGAACATAACACTTGTTTGCAAGACCCATATGGTATTTTAGAACACCCACAGTTGTGAACTCTACTTACAAGGGAAAAAAGTGGTTGTTGTTGAGGAAAGTCTTATAATGTTACAAAGTCTGTTTTCATGTGGGTAGAGAGAAGAAAGGGCAGCAGAAACATACATAATAAAACACAAATGCTAGATGGACACTTTCAGGGGCAGACTTCGAGTTCTTTTGTCTTTCCCCAAGATAATATATCTATGCCAACATTACAGTAGCATCTAGGTGAGTTCAGTCAAGATCACCATAGGTCACAGTCAGTGCATGCTCACTCTGTAACTCTCTAAAGGGCTGGAAGTCCAACAGCAACGCAGGGAAAATCACAGATAGAGAAAATGTCATTTCAGCATGATCCACTAAAATGCCTGAACAACAAGAGGGGAAAACTGGGAAAAGAAAATTATCTTCCTGAACATGACAAAATTCCAGCTGAAATCTTCTTTTCCTGCAGTGCTGAGGCCATGCCTGTCTGACTTAGTATTAACAAGTAGATTAAGAACATGGGAAGGGCCATACCAGGTCAAATCAAAGGTCCATCTAGCCAGGTATCTTCTTTCATGAAGATATAAAAGCAGAAAGAGTATTCAAGTAGAGCAAATTATATTTGCCCCAAATACTATCCCAGACTTGCAACAACTTACGGCCTAAGGGGTTCTGAAACAGGATTTTCTACCTCAAGGATGCACTATGAAGTATGTGCACTGAAAAAACCACAAATCTTCATTTACTTTGAACATGCCACCTGCTAGCTTCGTCTGATACACCCTGGTTCTTGTATCGGAAGAGACAACAAGTAGTTGCTCTCTATTCACCATCTCAAAGACACTCATAATTTTATAACTTGTATCTTATCTCCCCTTGGTCAGCCTCTGTCCAGGGCAGAGAACTAGCCAAGTAGGCTTGGACTCTAACGTATGTGTCCACAACTGTAGAGATACTCAGGACAGAAGCAAATGAAAGATTTGAAGAATAGCACAGTTATATACTCTATTTCATTCTCTTTTCCCTTCCTGCTAATCCTTAACTATTTGAGGAGATAAAGTATTTTAGGAAAATTTGGACATTAAGCCTACTTTAAAACCATTGATGAATAGTGGAATATGGAAACTTTAATATGTGCTGTTCAGACTGATGCTTCTTGGGTGCAAGGAAAGTGTAAACATAAGGGAAAAGCCAAAAGCAACACCATCTAGGCAGCTTATTTTTAGGGAAGGAAGAAGAAAGAGTGTTGGAGGAAAGAGTATAACAGAATCTTTAACAGGTCCAATATTTAGTCAATACAAATCTAGAACACACCAGTACGTACCAACACCTGAGACTAACACAACACTCCAGCAAACCAGAGTTCTTGCAACAGTGTACATCCTATCAGTGTCCACATCCTAGCTGTTGTCACTGATCCATCTCTCCATCCTTGGAACTGGTATCTGCTCGTTTTCTACTGCCACATCATTTGCAGAAATCACTGGTTTTGTGGCAGCATTACAACCACCAGTCTTGCAAGCACAATTCTCTACTGCTCATGAAATCCATGTAGGGATGAGACCAGGCAGTGTCTCCTGTGGTCCCAATTTATTTCTTGGAAACTGGAGAAGTCTTCTGCACTCATCATGCAAATGGAGTTTTAGGATAAATATGGTTCAATATAGCAGTGGAACATCTCATTTCAGGATATAAAAGTTATATAGAAGATAGATACCATGTAATTTTATAAAATGCTTACAAATTAGTAGATACTCTACAAAAATGTTCTTAAAGTTCCCTCAAATAATAAATTACTATTCTCATAGACGCTTTCTTAAGGAACCTGGAAGAAGAACCAACAGTGCACTTAAAATTTCAACTGTATGAAATAGGTGCAGTCTGAGAAAGTACGTAAATTAATTATGTATTTTTGTATGTTCTGAGTTGTTTTGATTAGTGATTCTAGGATTTGCATGAATCAGGACTGCAGAAAATGGTCTCTAATTTTGATAAATTACTGATGTTTTTTCCTGTCCAATTTCTCTCTTCAGTGTTGCTAGTAACAATCCTTGTAGTGGAAGGGATTGCCGTTGCACAGAAGACACAAGGTACAATTTCAGTTTGATGATTTTCTTTCAAAAAATGTAACAGCTTTATAATTTTTAATTAAGCAATATAAGTGAAAGAAAGTATTTGTGTTCAGGTATTAATAGCTTTTGAATCATCAATATGAATTCCAGTATTTTCCACTTTCTCCCTATTTACTGCATTTTTTCCCAGTTGAACAAAGCCATCCAGTCACAAAAAACATGGAAGTTCACTTAGCCAATTAAAATTCTATGGTTTTGGACCTTAGAGATGGGGGGGGGGGGGGAAACACCACGGAAATTCATGTTTTCTGTATCTGACAACTAGCTTTTCAAATAGTCCACCCACAAACATTTTTGAAGCCTGGTGAGCAGGGAAAGCATCAGTTTCACAGACCTTATTTTCTCATGCGTGGGATTAACCTACAGTAAGGGGAGAAAAATTCCTTGAACTGACAACCCACAGAATTTCCTTGAACAATTTCTGCAAGAGACACTAAGTTTTCACCCCCATAAATCAAAAAGCTGCCAAGATACCAGTGGAAGGGGATGTCATTTACTGGAGGCAGCTAAGACCTGTATCAGCACTGACTCCCCCTCAAAGGTCTGCAAAGAAAAGCTGCGTAAATATAAACAACATTATAAGAGCACCCTGTGAGATTTAGGAAAAAAAAAAATCTAACAGAAACCACTTATCCTGTGTCCTACTCTCTCCAGTTCTGCTGATATCAAGGAGAAGGGCCAAAGCTACTTAAGCAAAAGGTCAGAGAGATTATACGAGTCCCAACTCCCTTCTCCTTGGATAAGGAAATCTGAACTAACAAAGCTCCTGGGAATGGTCCAGCATGGTGCACTAGCTTAATAACCTACATAATCTCAGTCAAGATGCATATTTCCCTGCACATCCAGAAAAGCAGCTTTGATCTTAAATGTGCAATCTACCTATTTGCTAGTAATTTTATTAGCTACCATTGCTGTATTTAGTGTATTTACATATTATAATTAATTCTGTTACAAGCATTCTGTATTCTGACAAATTATTCTAAATAGATGTTCAACCTAAGGGCCATGTACTTCAGTATACTTTGGAATCAGGGGCAAAAATAGTAAAAGCTAACAAATATTTTGGATTATATTTGCATAGGAATGGAGAGGACATAAGCCATAAAATAATGCTGCTATATTGGCAGCCACTGTGACTATCTGACTTAGAAATAAGAGCATCAAAAAATCTAAAATTACTTGTGTAAAAAACAATTACTCCCTCTCTTCTCTTCCCTTCACAAAAACTACTGGACATATTTGATATCCAAAAACTACGATCTCTTTAGGAGATATCATATCACTAATTTAAGCATAAAATTTTCCTAGCTAGGTATTAACAAATGACATGGAAGGGAGTTTTCAACCAAAATAAATTACTTTCTTCTTTTATAGGATATGCATTATGTCAGTGTGTTACTTTTGCAAAATCGAATTTGCATGCTTGCAGGAGAAATTTGTTTGATCACTTGTTTTTCTCTTAAGGTGGGCAAAATATTGGAGTGAATCGCATTCCTCCTACCCAGTGTGACAATTGGGTACGGACAAGTAATGGAGGACATTTTGCTTCACCAAACTACCCTAACCTGTACCCACCAAATCAAGAGTGCATCTATATCTTAGAAGGTACATGCTGCATTTCTGTTCTGTTGTGTTGTAATCTTACTCTTAAATGGATAATCTTGAACTGTTGAACAGTGTCATTTCACTATACTGTCAAGTATTATATAGCCATACTAGATATATAATCAATTCTGCAGTCATTTGATTGAACAAGAAGCTAAATTTGCTCTCTGAAGTAATAACAAATTAATAGAAAATGCAAACATTCAGGAATTAGCTATATGGGATAAGACATATCCTCACATCCAGAAAAAGTAGCATCAGATCTACTGTAATCTGTGAAGGCACAAAACTATTAAGATAAAACTTGTAGCTTGTTATCTTAATATCACTTCCAATATTGCTGATGATAAACTGCAAAAGATGGTTGAATACTATCTTCAGGATTTACCAGACCATACTGTGTTCTTCTAAGTCTGTCTCACAAGCAGAAAATATTTATGCTGTCCTTTATTAATAAAAAAAGACACTTTGGACTGCCATAGCACTGTATTGAAAATATGGAGATTTGTTAGCATTGCTGAGGTCACTACTAAAATAATGTGATGAGGACAAAAAAAATTCATTAACTAGAATAAAACCACATTCCAATAAGAATATCTTGGATAAAAGCTGCAAGACTTGGGACACACTAATTATTTTTTCCTCTTATTAGAATGCATCCAAAACCCACTGAAGTCAGCTAAAAGCATTAGTCAGCTTAATCGTCAGATTCATATCAATTAATTGAAATATTTCAAGTAGTGTTTCAGTGAGTTTCTATTCGTGCAGTATAGTACTGGTTCATAGACACCCTCTTTTTTGCTCATATGCATATGCACGCACATCTGAATTTTTGCATCTTCCCTGCCAGTGGAGGCACTGAAGAGCAGATACCCTGTCCAGCTTTAGAGTCTGGACGTACCAGATCCATTGCTGGATCTCCCTCACGCGAGGCAGCTTCCATGGAGCACAGAGGCGGTTTCCACACCTCTGTCCTCACAGTCCTTATACAGAAACAGTATGGGTACCTGGGCGAGCCCAAGGTCCTCCACAATTTCTAGATGAGATACTGTCCTTCCTGCAGACAACCGCTAATATGTGCAAATGGCTACGAATGGTTTTAACTCCTGTCCAGGTAAGGCATAAGGTCTAAGCAGAGTGTTAGTCATGTAAGTAAATCCTTTTTGCATTCAGAAGCAGCAGACAGCATGTGATTCTTTAATGCTGTCATTCCACGTGCCAGTTAGTATCTGAAAGTTCATGTAGCTCAATAGATGACAAGAACAAGAAACACTAAAGCTATTCATACAATATAAAGTCATGGTTCCAAACTACAGATGTGAAGGTCCGGTCACAAAGCAGCCATAGCTGCATCTCATCAGGCTTTAGGGCTCTGATCCAAATCCTGATGTTAGGCTGTTGCTGGTTCAGACTTACCAACATCTGTAGTCACCTGCACACGAATATATATACGAAGCATTTACACTTCTCTGAATAGTCTAATAAAGGATTTCTCCTGCCAAAGGATCTCCCAATTTGGGCTTAATGTTTAGGAAATATACCAGTGTTTAGCTCTTCATATCTTTTTCTTTTCCATTCTTTTCTGCATCCCTTAATGTTTTGTCCTTTTTCATGTACTTTGCTTTGATGGAACAATGCTTTTAATTTATATCTTAATATTAAACCTTGTTTGAATACCTTTGCATATGCGTTATATGTGTTGCATCAAATCTACGTAATTTCTGATTTTTCAACAATAAAGATCAGCAAGCAAAAAAATTCCATAAAATTCCATGAAAAGGTATCTTCTACACAACCATTTTTAAAATTTTTATTACAGTGTATCTGAGTCTTTGTATCAGATTGCCAGATGTATTTTGAGAAGTTCCCACTCTCTTTTTTGTCTTGCTATTTTAGAGGCCCATCTCTTCATTATTTCATGTCTCCATGTGTATTTTATATAGATCTTCATCTAATCTTTTGCTATACTTTTTTATGTCTAGCTGCTCCACGACAAAGAATTGAGCTGACCTTTGATGAACCTTATTACATAGAACCCTCATTTGAATGTCGGTTTGATCATCTGGAGATTCGAGATGGACCTTTTGGTTTCTCCCCTCTTATTAATCGTTACTGTGGTCTGAAAAGTCCTGCACTAATTAGATCAACAGGGAGATTTATGTGGATCAAGTTTACTTCTGATGAGGAGCTGGAGGGAAAGGGGTTTCAAGCAAAGTACTCATTTATACCAGGTAAAGACGCCTAAAATTCTGACCGAGTTAATGACCATCTGCTCCCAGTGAACTCTCTGGATGTATTTATGGTGATAGTCTAGAGCTGTATATCTTCATAAGTGCATATGAAGGCAAAGTGACAGTGTGATGGTTAGTCTCAGTCCTGCTAATCCTACAGCACACTTGACTAAAATCACCTTGGAAAACTGACTGAAGGCAATTTGCTAGTGAAGAAGTCAGTTGATCTTGTTCATGCTGAAGGCTTTAACAACTTCCCTTTGTTATTCTAACTTGTACCAGTTTCACCAGTGGTAGTAATGGACAGAGCATTTATGTAGACAAATAGCTGGCATTTTCAACAGCCTATCTTCTAGGAATATAAGACACTATGACAAAAACACCTGAAGCAAATCTACAATAGCACTTCCAGCCAGATGCAAAACATTTTAAATCTCCATTCAGAAAAGCCAGAGGAAATATCTATACAGTCCAAGCATCAGCTCTCAGTGATCAAATCTCAGAAACTCGATTTCCTCAAACCACAGAACTGTTCTTTGCTCAAAGTACTGTGTAGTTTACAGGGTATGAAAGAGAGGATAATATGCTGACAGTGCCTTTCAACAAACAAAAAGGATGTCTGCTCTGTGGGGCCACTTAAAACTGGCAGGGCATTCTTTTCACAAGAAAATTTGACCTCATGTCCTTGTGCAGTGCTTGACTGCTCTACTTCATAAATACGATACATGTAGTTATCAGCATTTTATTGTCCTTTGGGACAAAGGCCAATATACAAATGTCAGCTCTACTACTACTATAAATGTATACACAGGCATAACTTTTTAATGTCATCTTTACCCAACTGGTCTTCACCCCTACAGCACATGAAAACACTATACATGATTATATATTACTGCTTATAGAACCGTATATCTTGCTAGGGATGTAGACTTGGAGGCTCTACACATTAATATGGTGACCAGTCCACTGGGAATAACATTTTCATAGGGACAGTATTTACGCATTATTGCTAAGTCCATTTTCAAAACCATTTCATTAACATCATTTTCAAAACTAACTTAGCCTTGTTCCAGGCTTGAAATTTAAATATAAATTTAAACTGTATATTATTTTCACAGTAGATCACAGCAACTGAAGGACTGATATTTTTATTTCCTTCTCTTTCCTCTACATTTACATGGAGTGTGGTAAAATATTTTGGGATTGTGAAAATGGAAGAGGAAGTGCACATACACTCCCACTTCATAAAAAAATATCATCAGTTCATAAGATTGAAAGTCTGACAGAATTTTGCATATAGCAATCATAGATTTCACTACAGACAACTAAAATAGAGGAGGGCAAAGGCAGCATTTTCTCAACTGTACCGAATCTTAAGCTTAGGACTGAAGCACTTTAGGAGAGATGATAAACTCCCTATACAGGAAAACCTTTTGAGGATCACAGAACGAGCCAAATTCTGGATCTTCATTTGGAAAATAATTTTGTATAAAACAGACCTGCACTTTTGCATGAACTAGTACTATCTTTGCGTAGACTAACATTTCACACACATACACACACACACTATGATTTGTGTGATTTCTATGGTGATTTTCTATGCCACAGCTGTGAATGGGTACATCTGGCAAGTTTCTGTGCCGATTTGTGAGGAAACACTAACCTGTTAGATCACTGAAATGCAAGGCTTAGACATTCCAGCCCTTTACAGACTCATTTTTAGACAAGCCCTAGTCCCCGTAAAATAACATCAGTTAGCCAATATGAAAAAGTATTTTCTTACTTCACTACTAGTATGCATATAGTATACTACTACAGATACATATACTACCTATATGTTGCATTTAGAAGAGAGGAGATAGAGGAACAGTCAAGGTGAAATTCTGCCTTCATAAATGATGTCTACAACTGTGCTACCTGGCCTAATAGAAGAGGCATGGGTACCCAAGGAAAAAGTATCTTTAGTATTGAACTGTCCTTTATATTCTCTACTAATAGCAATTAGCTATTTCAAAGTGTTGATATATTCTGCTGAATGACTCCAGTTCAAATTGTTCAGAACTAGACAGACAGCAGTCTGATAAAAACGATGCCCACAGAAAGATCTCCTGTACTCTGCGGAGCTCCAGTGATTTCAGTGAAAACTGGCATAATTAAATTCAGAATGTAGCCTAGGAACAAAATAGTGAATAGTAACTTTTGGTGTTATGCTGGAAGTCTGAGCTGTCAGCATAAAATTACCTTATTCAAATAAGGTCAATCTTTGTTGAATAATCTTGAAAAAAAAAAAAAAGTCTCTGTACCCTCCAATTGATTGAGTAAACTTTCTGGCAATTCTTATTGTGACATAATGCAAAAATGGACATAATCCTTAGATTATACTAAACCTTGAAGTGATTCTCAAGCACTGATAGCCCTTGTGATTCATGACTTCTTTCTATTACAGATCCCGACTTCACTTACCTAGGAGGTATTTTAAATCCCATTCCAGGTCTAGTATTACAGTAACAATTTCTTTATACAAGAAATTTTAAATTAATGTCATATTGCATTTGACAGCAAGATATGTCTTATCCCTAGATTGCCAGTTTGAACTCTCAGGAGCTGATGGAATCGTACGTTCCAGTCAAGTAGAACAAGAAGGAAAAACAAAACCGGGACAAGCAGTAGACTGCATATGGACAATTAAAGCTACTCCAAATGCTAAGGTGGGTTTCATTCATATCATTCAGCATACAGTGGGTTTCCAAGTCATTAGTAACAGGTAATAGTCACTAGCTGTGATTTGCATAATGTCTTGCTTTCACTGAAATTAATTATGTATCAGTGGCTTAGGAAATCGAGATAGAGGATTGTTTCTGAAATTAAACTTATGCAGCACGTCCACAGTGTTGTCTTGCTATTATTTGAAACTTAAAATACAACATAGCTGTGGAAACTCTTTAAGCAACAGTTTTCAAGGGCATTTGACTTGGAGTCTGGTTTTATTGGAAGACCTCAGGCAAAAATGCTGGCTAACAGCTTTGATAAATTCCATTAAATCTTGCTGCCATGGTTTAAAATTTTGCCTCCAGTGGTTCTGTTGGAGAATTTGGCTCTGTTCCAAGTCAACAGAAACGTACCTGCTCCTCCCCAATCTAATTCACAATCCAGTACCTTAAAACCCACTTTAATCAGCAGTCTGAGCTAAAACGAAAGGCTTTACCTGGAAACAGCTGAGCAATTACCACTCTTTCTCTTCTGATTTCGCTATAGGATCACACCCTCTTAAAGTGTCACAATAAAATTTGCTAGTTTTTCTATCCAAGCCCTAAAAGGGCATATTAGCTGCCCAAGCCCAAAATCAGCATTAGTTACCTCAGGTACCTGATATTTATGGTTGTGCTTGCAGAACTAGAGACTGCTTATGAAAACTTCATTATCTTATGCTCATTAAAAATAACCTCAGCTTTATTGTTGGGCAGAGGGAAGGATAAAATCCTATACATAATTCCAAAATGAAATAGCAATAGCCTGTTTAAAAAAAACCCAACAGCTTTGTTTCAGAATCATACACTTGTTAATTACTTATGAGTTTCTTTGAAGAACACATTTTTTTTTCTCCATATAGCACACACATCTGTAATTTTGGTTCTATATGTATATTAAAGCACATAGCACTGCTTGCATGTACACAAAAATTTTAAAATATTTTTAAGCAGTAGCTGCCAAGATGATAAACCTACTCTATGCCTTCTTACACACTCCTACTAGTTAACTAGCCAGCCCTATTCACCAACCTCCAAATTAGTTTTAAACCAGCAACCTAAAAAATGGTAATAAGAGGACTAGACAAGAAAGAAACTAAAAAGCCATTAATATATTTGAGCCTTTGAGGAAGTGACTCAACTCCCAAGAGTCCTATACTAGTCTAAGTAATAGTAGGAGTTCTTCCAGAAACAATAATAAAACCATTTTCTCTCTACATTGCCACTTGAGTGCACCAGGTCTTATGCTTAAGTATTTTATTAAATTATTGAATGTTGCCATAAGGCAGAGTTACAGTTGGGTCAGTCCTGAGATTAGATCATCATCCTAAATTATTGAGTTAAAACATTACAGAAAAATAATTCTTAGTATTCTGACAATGGTTCCTCAAGCTTCAATTCTGGCAGAATTATGATGATAAAATCCATTAAAGCTGATACGGTGCAGTCTCTTGAGAAAAATAAACATAGTAATTTTTAATTTCTTCAATTTCATTTTTGTAATAAAAATAATTTTTTAAAACTGACACAACTGCAGCAATGAAAGGACTTCTAACATATGCATAATAGATACATAATAAATTACCTCCAGATTTCAGAAAATTACTAGAATAATCAATATATTCTTAAGAGTGAGGACCTTTTATATTTACTTGCTTAACACACGAACTAGAAAAAGCTTTTGTAGAGCTAAGTTCTTCTAATGGAATTATTCCTTTGTTTTCATACACAGAATAGCTCTACTACAAGTGTGATAACTTATTTTTAGCTTCCATTGTAATTTCACAGCAGATATATTAAGTCAATCACTATGTGACAATACCACCCCTCAGCCCAAATACTAGCATTTACAGTTCACACCTATGTTTTGAGATAAGACATTGGAAAGACAGGTTCTCAACATAGCTGAGAATTTCCAGCAGTAAGTCTAACAAATCCAGCAACAAGAAAAAAAAAAAAAAAAAAAAAAAAGAGAAAGAAAAAAAAATATATATATACTGAAAAATCACAAAACAACACGATGAAGCATGAGATAATATGACATAGGCGGCTGTGCCTTCTCAGAGAACGTGCAAGGGGAGACAGTGCTGGCAGCCTGCCTCTGGAAAACACTGGCAAGAAGGCAGCAGAGCGCACAAGTGTCACCTGTCTTTTCCCATGTTTTCAGTAGAGCCTGTTAAGCATATGCAGGGGATATCTTTCCCTGCCCCCCTCACAGACATGGTTGGTTTTGTTTTCGTGAGTTCTTCAAAATTCAGTTTTAAAAGGCTTTAGCACTAGCTGAGGTTAAAAGCGAGATAGGGCAAAATGGCAGAAATATAGGTAATATAGCAGTAGTAAGCATGGTATTCATCTACCCTGTCTCCCCTGCTTCACACACTAAACAAGAGTTTGAGATTCTTCTCATTAGGCAGATGCATGAAAAACCTCACTGTGCAAAAGGTCTTCAACATCCACAGCATCAGCTGGAGAGGTAATTGTAAACTACTCAAAACACATACATTCTAGACCCAAGCTGATCTGAGGAACATAGTGAAGACTTCATGGATAGAGGAAGAGCACCTCTTCTCCCACAAAGCAGGGGACCTCAGCTTCCACAGGGGTAGATTTCTTCTCTGACAAAATAACGGCTGTCTGAGGAATTTTGAAAGTTTAAAGATGGACTTGGCAGTGTGCTTAGGTGACAGTTACATACTTCATCAAGTTTTACTAGAATTCTGATAATTCCAATAGAACCATTCAAGAGATTTAAAAGCCCTATGATCTTTTCATGTAATTCTAATTGAATTACAATCTTGAACAGGTTTCCTGCTCCAGCAAAATAAATTTTCTTACTCTCCATGTGCCATCTTGGTCTCCTAATTCCCTTTACTGCATATGTTCTACCACATACACTGCCTTCTCTTGGATTAGATTTCTGCTTTTGGAAGAATTAAGGTTAGCTGAAACTTACTAACTCTTCCTAGATAGCCAGTTTACCTTTTTTCTGCTTCCATTTTTATTCAAATTACTCCTGACTCATGGTTTATGTCTTCTGTAACACTGCTCTGGAAAGTAATTAGCTTTCATTCTGAAGCAACAAATTTTAATTTCTTTATTTTACTTCAGAGCTTTTCTTACTAGACTCCTTCCCTTATATTTTAACATTGTTTTTATGAATTAAAGGAGAAAGAAAAGAGAACAGTCAAAACACCATTAAAATTATTTGAGCACATTTATGTGTTTCTTGTATCTTTTCTAGGGTAATAGAATGCACATTTAGCAGAGCTGCTTAAGGCTTCCTTCAGCAAGTGTGCTGCTTTTTGCCTTTTTCCAAGAGAAGTAGAAATATAGCGGAGTAAATTATTAAGTAAAGATTGTTTTGGGGAAGGGGGAGAACTGAAACAGATATTAAAACAAATTTCAAGTAATACTCCACATTGACATTTAATAAGAAAATGTAAATTTAAAAGTGGTGTGAGTTGTGAAGTTACACATCTGTGCAAGGGGACAAAACATCTTATTCAAGATTTGCTAAGAAAGAAAACTGTCTTCTCTATTACTTTTCCTAGAGACATTAATTTTTCTTTTCTAACAGATTTATTTGCGATTTCTCGACTATCAAATGGAGCATTCAAATGAATGCAAAAGAAACTTTGTTGCTGTATATGATGGAAGTAGTTCTATTGAAAACCTGAAGGCAAAGTTTTGCAGCACCGTAGCAAATGATGTCATGTTGCAGACTGGGACAGGCGTGGTACGAATGTGGGCAGATGAAGGCAGTAGGCTAAGCAGATTCAGAATGCTGTTCACTTCATTTGTGGATCGTAAGTAGATTTTAAAGTGCCTATTCTCCTGTTAGCAGGGTACTTCAGGTATTTTAGGAAAAGCATCAGCTATATATTATAGGGTAGGAACTCACAAGAAAGGTTGCTTGTTTCCTTCACATACTAGCAGGTAAATTAAATACTTGCTTTATTCCAGTTGTAAGCAGGGTTCCTGAAGAAAGGCTTTCCTCCATTCTTAAAAGGTTTATTTTTCATTTGATTTCAGTAATAATACAGCCCTAGGCTATGTCCTTCTCACAGTGAGTTCTACAATAATGAACACAGACTTAAAGATAGCAATGGGACTGAAGTGTGCTCTCCCACTAGCCCACATCTTCCAGTTCCCCCAAACACACAACAGGCGCTTCTCAAGCCCACACTGGATATTCAGAAGGCTAGAAAACACCTGTGACCCCGCAGAGTCTGGATCTGCTTCCTATCCACAGCCCTACCTTCAGTTTTGGATCTGGAACTACACCCAAGCTGTTACCTCCCCCTCAGCCACGTGTGACTCTAAACAATCCCACACATGTTCCCTTAGCAAAGCCCAGTTGTGTTGCACAGCCGTAGATGAGGAGTTAAATTCAGATTTAAGAAGGCTATATCAAAAGCAGACCTGTAAATGCAATCTGGATTTCTGTTTGGATTCCATAGCCTGGGTTAAAAATAGTCTTTATTCTCATTGTAAATCAAGATGTTTCTTGAAAGCATGCTTTTTGTGAGATTTCTCCTAAGTGCTTTTCCTCTGAACTTAATGGAATTTTGCTGTCAAAGAAGTAACTTTTTTTTGACAGAATTAAGAGGTCTGTAGCCAGTCCTGAAAGGGATCCTGGTCATCACTTCACAAAAAAATTTAAGGTTACAGGTAACAAGTAGATATTATATTCTGTTCCATAAACCAGTAAAGTTTAACACAAGAGAAAAGTTACTTTCTGTAAAAACAACCTTAATTAAGTAACAGAGAATTATAAGAAAAATAGTATTTTGCTCACTTTGCAGACAGGGTAGTAAGAAATAATTGCATGTTTCAAACTAGTCTATTGGTTAAGCTACAACAGGCATTTAATAAGCCGTAGATATTGTGAATTTCAATAAATATCAATTTTAAGCACAACTTGCTTGCAAAATTTATAACAGCTTTTCCAGTAGCTTTCATTTCAATACAATTATTAATTTTAGTGATAATGCAAGTTATTCCAGCTTTCAATCTAGAAAGTACCACGAACTTTGCCAGGGAAATTATCCCTTTATATTATAAATATTGGAGTGGATTGTGTTTCTTTGTTGTTAGTGAGTTTGGATTTTTGGAGGGGTTTTTTTGGGTGCAGGAGGTTGAAACAGTTAACTGCTCCTAGAGTTAGATAACTTTTCAAACTTATAATTTTAAACCAACTGGAAAATCATTGGCAGAAGAAAATCTGCAAAGGTATGTGGTTATTCTTATTTATCTTCTAACTTGATAGGCTAACTGAAAAGTGTGTCTGAAAAAATGTTTCATGTATTTTTAAATTATATACTGATAAGCAATTTTTCGAACTGAAAAGAGTGAATCCATGCTTATCTTATTTTCAGATCGTTAAGCTATTTTTCTCTTCTGCCTTACTAATGATTTGTAATTATATGAAGCCAACCATGAAAACAATCAATATTTCTGAAAAGATTTACATAAATGAACTAATTGTGCATGACAGTCACCTAACACACACCTAGTGCTGCTTGCAGATTTGACTAAGTAATTCAGCTAACAGCAATGTTAAAAATCAATGTATTTGACTTCTGGCTTGATTCAATACGTGAATAATGCTAGCTACAAAAAACACTGTGAACACTGCACCAGTCTTAGGCAGCTGTTACGAGAAGAATCCAGCTATATTCTTGAAATACTGGACTGGAACGGATCAATCATTGTGACTTTTAGACTTTTTACTCTCCAAATAACAAACAAAAGGAAAACGAAGTCCATTTGTCCCATCTCTATGAACTTGTGAACAAAAGGCATCCCCCCAAAACTTAAAGAGACTACACAGGAACGTAAAATAGAGGCTGCTAGCAGATGGAGAAGTGGCACATTTGCATCATCCAAAAATACAGAAACATGAAAAAATTCCCATGTTCAAGGAGATGAGAAAGGGACTGTGTCTTACATCATAATTCTTCCTCTGTGCCTCTAGAACTACAGCTCCATACTGAAACAACAGCAGATACACACAGATCCAGGACAACCACTCTGGATATGAGTTTCATAGATCCTCCTTTATCTCACAGTCAGAAATATTTTAGTAGATATTGTAGTCTACAACATGCATAGCCTTTTTAAGCTAGTCTCTTTGAATTATGATCCTGTTCATTCTTTATAAAGTAAAGTTTGCTCAATCGTTCTTTCTAAATTCGTAAGGAGAAACTACCTCTTTTCTCCCCACCTGTGCTAATAAGGACAAGAGCCTTTTCTTTTGTAATCTGCATCTTGAACATTTCTGCTTTAACTATTAGCCTCTCTCCCATTATATATGTATAATGGTTAGAAATACTCAGTACATCTTCCCATTCTATGAATTGCTTTAGGTTGTCTGGGATACTTGTTTTCGTATCTAGATTAATATTCTTGCATAAGTTTTAGCCTGTCATCATTTAGAACTTCCGGGAAAAGGTGTGAATCCCTTTGGAACTGAATTGCAGCATAATTTTGGACAATGCTTACATCATGATGCATCATGATTTCATACGATGCTTACAGAATAGTGCTTACATCGTGCCTTAAACCATTAATGATATTAATTGCCTTAGTATCCACTCTTGCTACACTGTAGGTCATACTTGGGCACACTGACAACTCAACAACCAGGTTCCTTGGTATTTTCTTTCCTAAAAAGTAGCAGTTGGTGAAACAGTTAAAAGACATAGTTAAGTCTGAATGTAGGAAAATGTTTCATTTTATTCTTACATTTACCAGGTAATTACATGGTTGAACTTAAAAAAATGTCCTGCTGAATCATGTCTCACTGAAAAATGGTTTGGCCTTTGAAACAAAGTGAGTATAAAACATACTTGAAAAAAGGCTGATGATTTAGAAATCTAACTAGGAAGTCTTTCTGTTTGGAGAGAATCAAGGAGCACAGGTTTCCCAGGACCATATGCAGCCAGTTGCTGAACATCTCCAAGGATGGAGACTCCACAACCACTCAGGGCAACCCATATGTCATGGTTGACCATACCAGTCAAGTCAGATAGTTCAAGTCCTTATCTTCGTGCCATTTCCCTGATTCCTCCCATCACTCTTGTACTGGTGACCCCAACACTGAGCATAGCACTCCAGATGTGATCTCACCAGCGCTGAGCAGAGGGGAGGAATCACCTCATCCTAACAGAGCTCAGGATGCTGTTGGCTTTTTTTGCTACAAGGGTGCATCACTGCCTCACATTTCACTTTCTCTCCACAAGGACTTCCAAGTGTTTATCTACAGAGCTGCTTTCCAGCTGGCTGGCCCTCAGCCTGTACACATATGTGGAGTTATTACTCCACAACTGCAGTTCTCTGTTCCCCTTTGTTGAACTTCATGAGGCTCCTGTCAACCCATTTCTCCAGCCTGACTCAAACAGCAGCACAACTGTCTGGCCTATCAGCCACTCCTCCCAGTTTTGTATCATCTGCAAATTCTCTGAGGGTACACTCTGTCCCAAAGTCCAGGTCATTAATGAAGAGGTTAAACAGTATTGGCCTCAGTATTAACCCCTGGGGTACATCACTAGTGACTGCCTCCAGCTGGACTTTGTGCCTCTAATCACAACCCTTTAATCCTGGCAGGTCAATCAGTTTTCAGTCCACTTCACTGTCCTCCTATGTAGCCTGTACTTCATCAGTTTTTCTACAAGGATATTATAGGATACAATTTGAAAGCCTTGCTTAAGTCGGGATATACAACATCCACTGCTCTCTCCTGATCTAAACTAGTAATTTCATCACTGAAGGCAATCAGGTTGGTCAAGCATGATTTCCTTGTCATAAATCTGTGCTGACTATTCCCCATGACCTTCTTAGCCCGGATACATTTGGAAATGGCTTCCAGTATTACTTGCTCTATCACCTTCCCAGGCATCAAGGGAAGCTCCCCCCTATCCCACTCAGGAGCAGGCCCATATTTTCCTTGGCCTTCCTTTTGTTGCTGATACCCTCGAAGCCCTTCTTGCTGCCTTTCATGTCCCTCACTATATTCAACTCCAGGCAGGCTTTGGTTTTCCCAGCCCCATCCCTGTACACTCACTGTCACTGAAATTACATTAAACTCTTCCAAAATACACTCTAAATACATTCTGTATTATGTTAAAGTATTACAGCACCTGTAGTACAACTAAAGCACAAGCTTCTCACATGGAACTTCTTGACAGGTTGCGAGGGGTTAAGCAATAACAGGAAGCTAATACAAAAGCTTAAAACCAACAAGCATAGGTTACCAAAATTCATTGGAGTAAGAAATGGGAAGACAATGCATATTGGATTTAAGGAATGCAAATCCGGAATTAAGTGTTTGAATTTTCTTTTCTCCTATGCATAACTCCTCTTTATGTCACTGAGACTCTGAAGCCTCACAGAAGGAATAAGTGAGAAACACACTGTATTCAGGACTAGTCACCCTCCTCTGCTGTACCCTTTGAGTTTCACATTACATTGCAGAGAATCCAGACTGCTCAAGAATAAATTCTTCCTATGAAACCAAACAGAAGAACGTCCATCATATATCTTTGCTGTTTAATAGATAACTGACTGCACTAATAACAGACATTTCTACCATAAAAATACCTTACAGAGAGAAAATCAATTTTTTGCCTAATGCTCTGAATTCATAAAGAATTCTCTATGTATGTTACACAACATCCTGAAAAGAATTATTACTATTTTTTTAATATATTTTTCTAATGTCAAGGAGTTATAACAAACATTCACAGAAACATAAAATCTTTAGGACAACTTCCTAGTTAATGTATTTCTTCAAATTTCTAACTACATATAGACAGACAGATCGATAAAAAGCTAAACCATACTCTCTCTTAATCCCTGCATTAGCTCTAATAGGAGTATCTAAGAGCTTTGCTTCGCAAGCAGGAATGACTTAGATGCCTCTAGTTACTGAAATCTCTTGCAATTACTGAAACAGTCCTCCACAAGCTGAAATCTGATTTGCCTTAAGATATTAATGGGCTCTAAAAATGCAGATATTCAGGAACTGCCTCACAACCAGCTATACCATCTACATAGCAGATGCACAGCAGATTGAATAAATATATAATTGATGGTGAGCATGTGATTTTTAAGTATTGAGTTTTTAAAGACGCGTATTAAAGCCTTCTTCCATTATTTGTGTTTTGTGACTGTATCTGCTACCCATTTTCAGCAAGAATTTTTTTTTTTGTAGCATTGATAATATAGCTGAAAGCAACCACATGAAGAGAGAGTAAATCATCCAATAATCAGTGATGTGCAGTAAAAATGATTATTTTTGAGACACAGATAAAGGAGGAGTATGCAAGTTAAAAACAAAAAAAAAAAAAAAAAAACAAAAAAAACCCAAAAAAACAAAAAAAAAAAAAAAAAAACAAAAACACCAAAAAAACCAGGAATTCACTAGTTCTATTGCAATGCATCAATTGCTGAAAATCCCTATGTTTTCTTTCTCTTCTCTCCTGCAGCTCCCTGCTCAGGCAACACTTACTTCTGCCATAGCAACATGTGCATCAATAATTCTTTAGTCTGCAATGGCATTCAAAACTGTGCATACCCTTGGGATGAAAATCACTGCAGAGGTAAATATGGTGCAAAGTGTAGCCTTCTAAGCTAGGCTGGTCAGTTTGCCTTTCAAGGAAGTCATGAAATGTCTTTTTTCCTGGAAATATGCTGAAGACAGCTATTCTACTATCCTCGGGAAGGTGTTCCAATTTTTTTTATTTAAACTCATGAGACATGTAAGCATCCTGAGTATTGATCTCACTGCTTTATAATTAAATTTATTCCTCTTCAGCATATACTCTATTTTAAAAAGATGTCAGCTTAATAGAAAGCGGAAGTTTGTATTTGCCAGGTTGCATCCTATCCATTTCTAAACTTTAAATGAAGTAAGGATCATATAGGGGCAGGTAATAACTTTTACTACAGAAAAAATTAGAGAGCTGGAAAAAGACAGACAAGCCTTCAAACACGGAAATCCTTTCTTAGTGCTGAAATAGAAGCAACAATCTTCAAACACAAATTTTAAAATTAATCACAGACTAACTCAGAGTAAATGCAACTACTGCATAGGGTGTGAGAAAGGGTGGGAGGAAGGAGGAATTGTTCGGAAGCAAGAAGTCATTGCTTATGGAAAGCAGACACATAAATCGCTGCTTCTAAAACATGGGGTAGGGAGTATTGTTTAAATCATCATGGTTACAGTAGAGACTTGCTTCAGTATCAGGTTTTATAGAAAACATTCTCATGACTTGAGGAAATTGTTACTCTGCTAAAGCACATATATATTCATCTGTGCTTCAACAGTAGCTGAATTTTCAGAGTTGGAACAAAAACAGTTTAAGGGCAACATTTTTTCTTGCTAAAACAATAAAACAACAAATTTGCGCTTGTTTTTTTTTTTTTTTTTGTCTGATAGAATGGCATAAATAGGACTGAACGCAACTCCTAAAAGATTTAAATAGGTACTTCATTTCAAAGATAAATTGACCCTGCAGGAAGGGTCAAAACCTTCTCTATGGAAAATCTTGCAATAAAATGACTTTAACACACAAATCCAGCTTAAATTTTTTAGTAAATGTTTTTAAAACTACTTTGAAATTGCATTTTGGACAAACAAACAGAAATCACACCAGTAATAAATACTCTAATGCTAGGTATATTGTGGAAGCTTTCCAGTTATCAAAACTGATCCGTAACTCCCAAGTTTTTAGTGTGGAAGTAAGCTTCCTCTAAACAATCATTATCTTTGATAATATTCAATGTTCCCTCCTAAGTGCAATTTCCAGATCTCCTTCCCATCTCTACCAGCTGTTTTCTAGAATCTTGCCTAGGATCCACACTTCAGTCACGTACCACAGCATTTTAAAAATTAATTCCATAAAAACCCTATCGCAATGTGAAGAAAATGTCTTTCCCAATATTTGTAAATTGCTGTATCTGGTGCTGAGTAACCAAGCATGCGTCATGTTTAATACAGTCTAAATTCTGCTTTAATACTTGCACAGCAGATAAAGGGGCAGCTGAAGACTGGATCCATATTGCCAGTTGAAGTAGACTGAAGGGAGACTGCCGCAACCAAACGAGAAATATCTAGCCTTAAAAAGAAAGCTTCTCACAACTGTGCTCAATTCCTGCAAGCACCCAGAGTTCTCATTTAGTCCACATCGATAGATACCTAAATCTGAGCACATTGTGACCTATCTTATGCCTAAACCCAGTAATACAAAAATTGCACACAACTGCCTTCTCTATTAATTTCTTTTAAGAGACTGAAGACAACAACACCTTTTGCATAGCAACTTTTTGATTAGAGTATCTTCCAAGAAGTAACCTAGATGCAGATGAGCAAACAGCCATAGCACTGAAATTCCTACCTCCCACAAAGTATGGTAACACTAAGTTGTAAGCTAGGCAGGACAAGGCAGGATATCTTCCTTCACATTAAAGACATAAATACAACTCAGAATAAACAACCTAAGAATTAGAACTGTATTTCAGACATAACTTATTAGCCAGTTCCTTGGGACTCTGTTTAGTATATGGATTGTTTAAAATCGTGTATAAGGGTATATAACTCTTTCCATGCACTGTGTGGAGTATTTAGGTGCATAACACATATCCAGGTGCCAGGAGCCAGATACCCGAAAATCATATGTAACATTTAGGCTACTACATTTTCTTCTGCAGAGTCTTAAATGCTTTTCTTCCCCACTAGTGAATGTTGCAGAGGCTCAGCATAGAATTCTTTAAGTCCCCTTGACAAATACACTTACAGAACAGAAATCCATCCAGAAAATTTTAATCATTAAATAAGAACTTTAAAGTATGGAAAACCATCTTGTTCTGATGCTGCCATCTTGTGTGTTGTCATATGAAGTACTAGCCAAAAGTGCCATATGATTTGGGTTGGTTAGTTCCCCCTTGCCTCCCTCCCCCTTTTTATTTTCCCAGCTGATTTGATTACTGGACTGTTAAAACTGTAATATATCTATACTAAAGCTCTCTGTGTTGAAATACATATAAAAGATTTACACAACAGACACAGTTATTAAGTTTCCAAGAGATATGAAAACAGATAGTACAGTCAGTCTTACCACTATGATAATATTTCACTTTTGAAGAACTAGATAATTTTAAATCTAGATTTCCTTCTACTGACATCAATGGGAATGTTACCAGCAGGAGCCAAGCATGTTAAAAGAAGCATCATCTGTAGCTGTATAAAATCCTGTTTAACTTGTGGATTTGGGAATATCAGTATAGGTTCAGGAGTGAAGCCACATCCCAGCTGAGACAGCATGCACTCACCACAGAGTTCCACCAGCCACTGAATTATCATATGGTAGCCACTAATGCAGACAGGGAATTAGACTTGCTGAACAAATGCACAGATCCAGTATGATAAATCCCACTGACATACGGGTCTAGTCTCCAGCGACAATAAGTCATTTCATTAATGCAGGACTTATATGGCAATCACAGTACAGCTTGCTTTGCTTTAATATGTGATCAAAAGTGGGGAAAATAACAAAAGCCTTAACATAATCCTTGCTTTTGCTTTACAGAAAAGAAAAAGACTGGATTGTTTGAGCAAATCACCAAAACTCATGGAACAATCATTGGCATCACATCAGGGATAGTTTTAGTTCTTCTCATCATTTCAATTCTAGTACAAGTAAAGCAACCTCGCAAAAAGGTAATGGCTTGCAAGACTGCTTTCAATAAAACTGGTTTCCAAGAAGTATTTGATCCTCCACATTATGAACTATTTTCACTAAGGGACAAAGAAATTTCTGCGGATTTGGCGGATTTATCAGAAGAACTTGAAAACTACCAGAAAATGAGACGCCCTTCAACAGCTTCCAGATGCATTCATGACCACCACTGTGGCTCCCAGGCCTCTAATATAAAACAAAGCAGGACAAACCTCAGCTCCATGGAACTTCCCTTTCGCAATGATTTTGCACAGCCTCAGCCAATGAAAACGTTTAATAGCACATTCAAGAAAAGTAGTTACACCTTCAAACAAGCGCATGATTGCCCTGAGCAAGTCATAGAAGACAGGGTGATGGAGGAGATTCCATGTGAAATCTATGTTAGAGGAAGAGAAGATACGGCACAAGGTTCATTATCTATTGACTTTTAATTTCCTAGTGAAGGTGGTATCAGTGTATATACAAGATGCTTGTGTATAATGACAGTGTATATATTAAAAGTGTACTATATGCAGCGTGTGATATGCACACACTTTTAGCTTATTATACTTCATTTAAAAAAAAAAAAAAGTCTTCATAACTAATTCTTGATGGAAAATGGTGGATTTCCTCCCATCTTTCCAAGCTACCTATCTGGTGGAGGAAAAAGACAGAGACTTTGCATGGCAAATACAAGTTAAGAATATTGGAAGAAAAAAAAACAACTACTAATCAGTGAACACTGAAATCAATGACTACTATTTTCTTCCTCATATCATTTTCTCTTCTTTAGATGTCTGCTTTTCAAGACAATTTTAATACCTCAGTTACATAAATAAAAGTAGTTAAGTGCACCACGTGTATGTCAACATAGATGTCTTACTGTATTTGTCAAATTGAAAGTAGAGTTAGTGTTAAGTGCCAGTTAAGACTCAAGAATTACGTTACAGCCATCTGTTTCATCTTGCCAACCATTTATATTGCCTTTAATTATAAGTTCCTCACTCTGCTTTGTGAGAAATAAGTGTAAAGGATTACTGCCTTTTAAAAATATTGAGTTATATTAATTTTAGTATATTTGGAAATATATAATCTTTGCAGCTTTTGGTTTAAAACACAAGTACTCGTGTTATTCTAGATGCAGACTTACAACAGTTTTCTTTCAAGAAGGTTTAGGATTTTAAAATACTCTGCCATATATTATAGATCCATATGGCTCACTGATTTCACAGCTCTGTAATTAGAAAACAGTTTTGTTCCTGCATTTTCCAAGTATTTACATAAATAGACTGTACTGTACATTTGTCTCTTAAAATAGCCTTTTACTCCTTATTGCAGCCAATCTTCCCTACTGAAATCAGTGATGATACTTTTAGCTCGTGTCCTACTTGCCTGAAGAGAACTGCTCTAAGGTCTGTGTGATTACCAAGTGTATGTGAAGATACTGGAAACAAAGAAAAATCACAAAGCAACTCTTATTTATCCTTATGGAACCCTTATTGTGCCCCTTGTTTCCACTTGCAAAATTGCACATTTCATACCTTTTTTAATGGTGGTTTGGACCTAATTTTAAAATTTTTACAATATAGAAAAATTTTTAAAATATTATAATTCTCATTGTGATTTTTAAACTTTTTATATAGTTTGATACTGTACAGACTATTTATTAAATCAAAATATAGCACCTGTACAGCAGGCTTGTTTCAGTGTCCCTATTAGCAGCTCTGAATAACATGCAGCGGCTGCTGCATACATCACAATTTACCAAGAATACTTAATATGACTTCCACATTAGCCTACACTTTATTCCCTGGTTTGTTTGGGTTTATTCTGATATTTTCTTAACAGGAAACCTTTCACTAAAGATGACCTACCAGCTTGTACTGGGCATATCTTTTATTTACAAACGTATGTTTGTTATATTGACTGTAGTACAAAAAAAAAAAAAAAATGACCCTAGCAACTGAAAAATCTTTTCTTTAAAATAAAAAAATGAGCAGCAGTAATCACAGATTTACATCAGAATGACAAAGAAAAAAGATATTTTTTACAAATGCTTAGAATCTAAGAAGTTTAAGGGGAGAAAAAAAAAAAAAAAGGGGGGTGTGTGTATGGAATTGAGTATCTTCAACACTTCCCAAATTCAGAATGAGCCCTGTCTAATATCTATAAAGAACTTAATCAGAGGTTCATAGACCAGACCCCTAAGGCTGTATCCGGGTGTCAGTTTTTGTGCTGGTCCCAGAATGCATTTAAATTTGAGAGAATGAAAATTAGCATTATTTTTAGATGCACTTCATGCAGAAGACAAGTGTTTAAAAATCTAGTTAATTTTGACTTGAAAATTTTTGAATGTTTAATTAAAACATTTCTTGACCGATTTCATTTACTTCTTACTGATTTCAGTAATAAATATCTCACCATGACCTATATGATACACAATGTTATTTGCGACAGTCTCTTAGTTCCAGATTCTGTCAACAAGTAATATGTAGTTTTACACAGGTCATTTTTGCCTATATAACTCTTGTAGGTGCTAGGTTTGCATGATTAGATTTTCTTTTTAAGGTATATTTGTCCATGTGATAAAAATAATGTGATCCCTATTCTTTCTTAAGTTATGTTGTCTTTGAAAAGTAAACCTGCAATAATAAAACAAATAGCAAGCCTGCAAAGCCCAAGTCTGTCAAAAAGAAGGGGAAAACCTCTGTTGAATCAGTTCCCAAATGACCTGAATAATATTTCAGTCAAAGTTGGAACTTTTCGGTTACATGGACAGAACACGGCTGCTTTTTGGCTACCCCAGAGCACATAGCTGAGGTCCCATAACCAGTCATATCTTCCGTGCATAACTTTTCCCAATATTCCCAAATCCAGCTCTACAAGATTCACTTTCCCCCCTTCCTTGCTTTCTAATCTGGGTTTTTTTGTCCTTAGTATGAAGGCAAGATACTCTTGCCTAGTTAACACCTGCTCCTGATTCGCAATAGAGTGCAAAAACTCTCCTGGAGGGAGCTTTGCAGGATTTCTGTAATAGCAGACCCAACACTTACTCTGGCAATAGCTGTGGACTTGAACAGATCCCAGAGAGAAACCCAAAGGGATAATGATTTCCATAGGTTTCTATGAATATTAAGGGCAGGAAAATTAAATACCAGTCCTTGTTTTATTAGAAGCAAGGTGAAATTAACATTGAACCTAGAAGTCTGAAAGGGAAACTTGCATGTGGTGTGTTTAAAAACTAGTATGCCTATACACCTTACTGTAATGTTGGGTTCAATTAATTAGCTGTGCTTTAAGAATGAGTGGTAACTATTAAAGCCATAATTCCACTTCCAGTGTAATTAAATTCCTTTCACTACAGAGAAAAATTAAGTGGGTGGACTGCTTGGTATTAGAGTGCAGAAAGCTGACATTTTCAGCAAAATAATCTAATTTTGGTTTTGCAGTCTCAATCCAGTTGGAGCTGATGTGGTCTTTAAACTTTTTTTTTTGGCATTAACAAACCCCATCCACTGTCATACTTTTGCAATATCTAAGTAGTATTACTGTATTTCCATTGTCACCATCTTAAAGCGATACATTTCTGGGAGCATTCTGATTTTGCACTCAATTGTACCCGTATCTCTGATACCTTGTGTTAACAATACATTCCTTATTAGTCAATCCCGATGTATCTGTTCACAGCAACACTCAGTCAAATCCGTTTACTGTTACATGTCCTTATTTCAAAGTTTATGTATGAGCCCTGTGATTGTAGACTCTTTACCAAAACAAAATTTCTTATCTGTGTCAGCCTGAAAGATAAGATGATTTTACATTGAGATCACACTGTTAAAACTGAGTATTAATTATAATGCAACAAGGGATTTTAAAACCAAAAACCTTTCTTTGATTTGATTTATGCTTTGAGAAATTGGTATTTATAGCACCTATCTCAATTTGACAATATAAATCTCTTATCTTTAAAACTGCTGTTTCTGTTGTTTCCAATGATGATCTCTATAGTGTAAATCCCACCCTATAAATACACAAATAAATTACATGTCAATATGCTCTAATACATGGTTCTGTGTCACCATGGAACTGCAAGTTTATTTTCACAGATTCCTTTGCTACACTCAATTTTACAGAATCAGCTTAAAAATCTGTTTTCCATCTGTTTCTTACATCAGCACTAACAACGGTCATTTATGAACTATCAACTTGTTCCCTCTTATCTAGCTATTTAAGATAATCTACCATATATCAGATAAAACATCTTAGTTTTTACAAGTCTTTTCTTACAGAGCCAGGCTAAGGGAGACACAAAGTAAGAACTTGATGTCTTTGTATGTCTTTCCATTACCATCACATAATTTATGACAATAGCTTTTACACTGCAGAAACCCATAAAAAAATTGATGTCAAATTCTGTTCAAGAAAAAATAATGTATTATAATAAACCAAATCATAGGTACCTAAGACCAACAGACCTCAAAACTCAAAATAATTTGCTGCTTTGGAATCTCAATCATGCCTTCTGAAGAAGAGCTGTTAATGTTGTCAGTGTACTTAAAGGATGCACATCATACCATCTTCGCTGAACTACTTCTCCTCCCAAACACAGGTTTCCTAGACATCTTTGAAGTGTTACATCTTATTTCACTTTTTTATTAATTTGTATATAGAAACATATTAATTACATCTTATAATTAGCCTCAAAGTACATCTTCACCTATATGACAGTTGCTTCTGTTTTCCTTCCAGATGCATTCAGAAGCAAGTATTACATTGTAGAAGTATTTATCATTAAACCACAGCATTTCAGCATTTAAGCATTATGTTAATTTTTGAGTTTATACTGCAGCTTATTTTTTACCTGAAAAGAGACTACAAGGAAAACTCAAAGCCCATTGGATTATCTCCTTAACCTCAAATGAATAAGGCTAAACTGGAACAGAATACATACTCAAGGTTTAGTATTTTATGGGGAAGTAATATCAGAATTAAAAGGGCATCTTTTTTTTTTATGTGAGAGGGTTTAGTTTGCCCCTGGTTATCACACTCAGTTTGCTCATAACACTTGTCTTTAATAACTACTACATTCTCCTATGAATAACACAGGAATCCAGATCATCAGCCTCCTTTCAGTTCCACTGGCAAAGCACATCAAATTGTACAAAAATTTAAGAAGGCTATTTGCAGAGCCAGGATTTGAAAATTAAAGAGTTCTTTGTTTTAAATACAGAATGGGAGACAATAGAAATGTCCAGTGGTTAGTATTTTGAGACAATGTTTAACAGGCCCTTCGACACACCCAAATTACTCTCAAGGTAACACAATTCTACTTAACCACTGTGTTAGGTTCCCTCACTTCAGTAAACACCCTCAATACTCCTAATAATTTGGACGAAGCCAGTTTACTGAGTCTACTGGATAGCATTCTCAATTACTACTGATCATTATATAAAAAGATGATTTAGTGATTAATGGGGGTGAAAAAAAGCAGGAAAATACTCTTGAAAGCAATTATGAGAATAAGAGATCCTTAAAACAACAAGTCAAACAAAACCCAAGTCTCTTAAACACTGTAATGAATCTTCTATTTGTAAAGAACAAACAGACAAGGTACATAAGCAATACCACTCATTACTGGCTCTCCACTCTATGTTTAATAACCCAACAGAGCAATATGAAGGCCTGAGGCGAAGCCAAGTAATTTTAATTTTTCTGTAGTAATGAAAAACAAAGAGATCTAGTAGAGTGAAGATGTTTGCTTTGCACTTAGAGGCAAAGGATTCTGCACAGGTTGTTTTCTGTCATCAGTAAGTTTTATCCTTAACAGTGAAGGAAATTCTGGACTATACAAGAACAGTAAAAAAATACCTACGTAAAATTCAAGTGTATAGTAAACAAATCAAAAAGTAATGAATACTTAAAATAATTTCATATATTAGGTAATTTTTAGAGCTATATATGACTCCTAAGATTACCATATTCTCCCAGATATTTCTGCATTTATGTCTGTTTTGAAAAGTGTGAATACAACCATTCAGACATTAAATCTGCGAAAAGAAGTAGTAATAACAGAAAAGTTGTTTGCCTCTAAGATCCAGAACTAATAAAGCTGCAAACTTGGAAAGCTTTACTGTACTGCACTTGCCACATCAGAGTGGGAGCAAGGACAGACATTAGTATCCCTTACTTGAACTAGCAGAACCCAAACATGAGTTAATCTTTATTAATTGTTAGAACACACATGTTCAGTTTGTTTGGGTTTTTTTTATACTGTAGTTCCAACTTTCCCTTAACTATTAGCATCATAAGATAAAGTGTTCTCTAAAGTAAGCATGCGGATTTCTTGCCCACAAAGAGTTATGATAGGTAGATTTAAATATTGCATTACTGTGCTTAGTTATGAAGTGCCAGGTTTTAATGTCAATTTATAAAAGTATCAAAAGCTGCATTACATACATTCATAGAATAGTTTATATTACAAGTTGCCAGATGTGTAACATCCAGATTTAATACCATTTCAGCACCACTTATAATGCTACTGCAGTACAGTCGGCAAATAGTAACACTCAACAAGAGAAACAAAAAGCACAAAACCACTTCTTTTTCAGTACTCTCTCCTCCCCTCAGGAACACAAATAAAGTCTACCAACTGTTCTTTAGCAACAGTATCAAACAGGGAGCTCAAGCTAACAAGCAGCCCTCAAGGCTTAAGGGAACATTAATGAGAAGTAGAAAGCCTGTAGAAGATATTTCTACATTAATTTTCCTATTCCTATAAAGATCGTGCATCATTTAAAAACAAACAAAAATACTCAGTGTGATCAAACGAGGGCTACTAAAACAAAAATATGTGATTGAATTCCATTTTATTTGAATCAGAGCTGGGGGTCATGGCTTATCCTTACTGTAGGACTACATAGAAATTAATATTGCCAAAAAAGTGAAAGATAAGGAACAGCCACTTCAGATTTACAGTATAATGAAAAAATTATGTAAATTTACACAAAAATGAAGATTATTTGGTTGCCTTGTTGAATTATGAAGAGCAGTTTAGAATGGCTGAAGGAAGTGGCAGAAAGCCAAGCCTGTCTCAAAGCAGAACTTGTCTGCCTTATATTTGAAAATGTAATAACTAGTCTTCTGCTTGCCTAACCATGAGGCTACTTTCTCTTCTTTCATCAGGGAAGCACTTTAAGTAATGATGGAAGAATATCTGAAATGAATGGCAATCTTGCCTGTGGGCCCCACGCCAACCTTACCAGAAATACCTGATACAACATATCGAGGGGAAAATAAAAATACATGGCTTTGATTCCCTCTCAGGCAGGAGTCAAATTTTGGGGTCTAATATAAAGCCCACAAGATTCAGTGGATAAACAACCAGAAAAATCATACCATCTCCTAAGGAACTAGAGCTGGATCCCCTATGAACAACAGACATTAGCTTCATTGAACTAACTGAAATACTTTTTAACCCTAAACCACACTCAAGTTGAAATATTTCAAGACAGACCCAAACATCCAGAGGGCTATTTGGACGGGTAATATATTATGTTAGGGATCCTGTTTTGATTAATATCAAACCCCTGTTTTTAAGGTCAGATGTGCTTATTGATTTTTTTTTTCCATTTTGAGGAAGACATTGTAAGAATATTAATGGATAATGCCCAGAATCAAAAAATTGAAAGACGATTTAGCAAATTAAATTAAACCAGGTTCTCTCTGTTCCCAGTAGCCAAGTTCCATAAGTAAAATGCCAGAACTGATCTAATGCTTCTTTTTTAAAAGGATTCTGAGAGAAAGTCTTTGTCATAAACCCTTTCAGAAAGGCAAAAACTCGGTAGGAAAGTATAAATAGAGAAAGGTTGAGTTACAAAAGTATCAGAACAGATACTACACAATAACAGTCTACAAAGGGATGAAAAATTCAATTGTATATATAACCCAAGGCATAACTCATATGTGTCTCTAACACCAATAAAGCTGGAAATAGGTTTACTTTTCTAGAGCTCAAAGAAAACTATAGCATTATTAAACACTTCACTCTTCTACTGCAAGATTTGTTTCATTTATTACCAGTGAAGTTTATCACCCATCTAATGATCTCATTTTCCTATACTGACACCACTGAAGGTTTCACACTGTAACAGAGGGTTGCAGAGATATTCACATCGTTCATGATTCTGGTGGTGCATAAAACAGATCAAAGATCAAGTTCCTTGTTTCTAGTGCAAAAAACCTCTTAAGTCCAGACAAATCTGATTGTTCAATAATATTGTCCTCTTTAGCATGCTACAACAGCAAATGTTTAAAAAACAGCTAAACCTATTCCCTCATCAAAAGGGGTCTTGTGTCCAATAATGTGTCTATACAGCATGTCTAAACAAATGTTACATCTTCATTAGCGTTTCATGTCAATGTTAACTCAAATAATAATAGATTGAATATGCTGCCAAAGCCTGCCAGCTCTTTTTGCTCCAGTATTAGCATCCATTAAAGCTGTTGATTGTGAAAATACTTTCTATCCTTGTCCTTCACTCCATCTGACCAAAAGCTCTCTCCATCTGACTACCGCTCTCTTCTGTCTTCATGCAGATAACAATTCATATTCAAACTCAAACATCTGAAAGTATATTATGCTCCTGTAGCAGGTATTTGAAATACTAACCCATTAATATCTATAGCAAATAGGGAAGACAATCTGTTAAACAGTTATCCAGCAACCCTGTAAGAATCTACACATACAATTTAAAATATGGATAGCTTCATCTTAGACAATCTAAATTTTTGAAAGTATGTATACAGGAGAGAAGGAAGGATATTGTGGAAAAATCTAAGAAAAGAGTTAAGTATTTCTGGTTTTATTAGCAGCTTACTATCAGCATTAAATATTAATAATGTATGGATATGTAGAGAATAAAGATATTCAAACAACTGAAGAGAGGTCAGCTTTAATAGCTCATCACATCAGTCTTTGGGGAAACATATTAAGGTACATTACTGTCACAGCTTTTGCTTAACACGGCTTCAGGGTTTAATCCAGTTATGTGGAAAGACTTGG